GTGGAAATTTTTATCAGTACAGAAATACCGTAAATTCATGCATCGTTAATGTACCGCTAATCTGGTTGACTTCTGATGTCGAAGAATGCAATATTCTGCTTCTAAAACAGTGTATTTAGTTGTCAATACATTAATACTGTACTGTTTTACTGGAAATTGCCTGGTTTTAAAGGGTCATCAGATGATACGTAAGTTACATTCAAAACACATTTGTCAGTTATAGTGATGCGAAAAAGTTGCCAATAATATCAAAGTGAATCCGGAAATGACTGGATCAGTTATCGATAGTTGCGTTGTATTAATTTTGTACTATGATAAAAAAACGGCATCCAGGTGTATAAGTCCCATATAAAATGGTTCTAACAGTCAAGTGATATTACACAGTGAACTGCCACCTGAATTCTCACACATCAAATGATGGTTGGATTTACAGCAAATGGAGGACAAAAAGCTTTAACGCTTACCTGGTCTATTTAAAATTGTCTTTCAAAGTGAACGACGTGGAAAAACTTTAGTGCAGCATTGTAGCTAAATTTTTGGCTGCAATATTTAACAAAATCTGTTTTGAACAGCTTACAAACGGACGATAAATTCTAATGTATAAATACGTCGTGGTCGCATTACGTTTGTCTGTTGCTTCGACATTCATCCAACCCTAACCAGCTGTAGTACCAATCGTTTTTAGATAGTTCCGGGTGGGGTCGCTCGCTTTTAGACTTTTTTTTAATCTAACGGCTTTTTATCTGAAGCTATGCTGAGTTAATTGCACAAAATTTATTGAAAAAAAAAAAATCGTTGGATTCAATTTATTACCATCTTCTGGTTTATATGCCCTGTATATCTTTGCACGCTTGGTTTTCATAAGAAAAACAAGAAGAATTCAGATGCTCATTTACTAATGAAATTGTTCCATTTTTGCATTAACCCATTTGGCAATTTTCATCTACAAATATTACATCTAGTTGGCTGCAAAGTGACGTTTTTTTATTTTTATTTTTTTATTTTCTTGGCGAAAGAAAAAAATTATTACATCTGTAATTTACAATAACTGCTATAGTGTTTTCACAGATGTTATGGTTTTAGACTGAGCTTTACTTCTGCCTCGTTTGTAGAGGATTGAGAACACCTTTATGCAAATCAAAATTTAGACTATACTTGATATGGCTTTACTTTTGATTGTTGTACGGATCTGGGATTGTTTTGCTGAGTGAAGAGTGTGCTGATACTTTTATGGAACGAAAAAATTGTTACATTTGGATAAATCTTTAATTTTTTCTTTCTGCATTTAATGTTTTTGTTTTATTGTCTTATTGAGGATAGCACGTAATGTTCTGTTGAGCACGAAGGTCTTTTGGTGAACAGATGTAACTGGTTTTATGATGTGTTATAGGTAACGCATTATCTTTGAACATTGCTAGATAATATTTCCCTTTTCAGAATGGGCCTATGCAAATGTCCCAAGAAAAAAGTTACCAATCTTTTTTGTTTCGAACATTGTGTCAACGTCTGTGAACACTGCCTTGTCGAAAGTCATCCGAAGGTAATAACGGATTTTCTCACTTTATCGTTTCTGAAATTTTTTTTTTTTTCTTATCTTGTACATAGATATACTGTTCGTTCGTTCAAAAGTATCACGGTGAAATTATACTAGCAGGATGATCTCGTTTATATAATTTTTAAATGTAATTTTTTAAATCACTTTTTAACTTCAAAGGGAGTTTGAAATTGAAGCTGTGCATCCGCCAAAAAAACCAACTTTTTTGACGGAAAGACAGAAGTAGAAGTTTGAGCAAAGTGGCGTTGGTCTCCAAGAGTAAAGATTGAGTGGTATATGTTGTTCGAATTAGGTAGAATGTAGTATATGTGTAACATAAGTTTTATACGGTCCCTTACTACTATTTGTATTGGTTAATAAATTTTTTATTTTTTATAGTGTGTTGTTCAAAGCTATCTGTCATGGTTGGCCGACAGTGACTACGATCCAAACTGTTCCTTTTGTAAAGTTCCACTAGTTGAAAGTGATACTGTTAGGCTGAAATGTTTGCGTGAGTTTCTTTTTTTTTCTTTTTTTTGCTTTCGTTATTATCGTACCCATCTTTCTCATGAATGTAATTTTTTCAGCTTTTTTTTCTCATTTTTATTTTTGTTTGTTCTATTTTGAATTCAATAATAGAATTTCAGATTTATTTCACTGGCATTGTTTTAATGCATGGGCTTTAAGTCTTCCACCAAACACTGCTCCTGCAGGATACAGGTGTCCTTTGTGTAACGAGGCCGTTTTTCCGCCTCCAAACCAAACTTCTCCGACTGTAGACAAATTAAGAGATATTCTGAAAGAAGCAAGCTGGGCACGAGTTGGACTGGGATTTCCTTTGGTCTGCATTTTCTTTTAGTTGAACAGAGAGATTGTACATGGGTATATGTATTGTCACTTTCAGCTGCCAGGTTCAGAAGGCGACGCAGCGGTTAAGAATTCTCAGGCTCCTAACCCTGCCGTTCCTAATTCGTTGGAGCCTGTAATTCATATGTCTGAAAATGCACCCTCTAGTTTTAGAGACAGCACATCACCCACAGTTTTGGAATTCGATGACGTCCAAACTCAACGTGGTGCATTTTCCCTCAATGGCGTTGTTTACACTTTTTTGGAATAGTATACGCCATCTTAATAGATTTTAGTGAAATCCATTTTTCTAAACTTCATTCAAGTTTTTGTCGCATTCATCACATCATTTGAACATAGAATTATCAAGTATGGATGCAAAAAATAGTAGGTTCACTTAGCCTACCGCTTTCAATTAATCAATTTATCACAGAGTTTCCATTTTTTTTTTCTTATTTTTTTTGGCTTTATTCATCCTTGACTTCAGTTCGAAAACCTCTTGAGAGTGATGGTGTGACGAATATGATTAGAGGTGGATCAAAAACACCATTATTGGCTTCATCTACTGTTCGAGATGAAGATCTTCCTGAAAATAAGTATAAAAGGCGTTCTGCTAAGGAGTGGTTAGGAAGATGGATGAGGTATTTCCATTACACTCTTGAGCGTTTTATGTAATAACGGTCAAAAATTGTTTCCCACCTTGTTGCAAAAATGAACTTATGAATATGCATGTCAGAATGACAAAAAGAAGATGATACGTAGTTTTCTTACGTGATTGTGGTTTTAAATGTTAGTAAATTATAAGTTTTTTTGTTGTTTTTTTGTAGATCGAGATATGGAACTCAGGGACGGTCTATATTAGATTCCGGTTCTCGGTGCAAACGAGCTGCATTTACCATACTTTTGGGTCTAATTATACTGGTTACAGTATTCAGTATACTTGTGAGACTCATTGGAGTGCCTGCCGATGACGATCCAGCTTTTGATCCTCTTGCTAATCCTAATGTCAGAGTTGCACCTGTACATGAGGATATACAATAAATGACGGCTTTAGACAAGGTTGAAGTTTTCATCATTGGGTGGGAATTTGTTTTAATTGAAAAGTCAGCAGTTAATTAAGTCGTTTAAAGCCGCTTCATTCATCTGACGTTAGTAGGATATGTTAATATATAACGAGTTGATAACAGTCGACTGTTACATATCTTTCGTGGTTGTGTCGTGGGAATTTATTCTTTACTGTACATGCTGTTGTCATTTTTTATTTTTACACATGTACTCTGGAGGTGGAGAAATGCGAGACCTCGCATTCGCATTTCTTATCCATGCTCATGTCACATTGCCACCAGGAAGCACGAGGATGGAATCCCCTTTGTGGTTATTGCCCCTCTGCAGCCTTATAATTTAGCTACATTTTCTTTCTTGGTCCGGAAGTTATATCACTTAATCGCATAATAGCATTGAACTATTCTTTACTAGTGCTCGAGAAAATTTTATTGAGTAATGTCATTGAGAAGATGTGGTATTCACATAATGGCGGGTTTTCTTACTGAACTACTCGCTTTACTCCTGCTCACTAGTTTGCAAAAAGCAGTGAAGCAGGCTTTCTTATAAAAAATTTTAGTAAGAGCGAGAAGCGAGCGAGATTCACGGTACTTCTGTAAAATCGTAAATGGTATAGTTAATGAAGTATAAAATCCGTTCTACACTAAGTTGCCTACACAACAAATCGCAATTCCTTCCAGAATGCTAATGTGCTCTTGAAGGGTTTGCATTTTTTTTTTCAATAGGAAAATGCGGGTGTAAAAAGTTTTGTGTTCCGTTAACTGTGCTGATAGTAGATTTGTTCTTGGAAATGTGTAAAACATTGACTATTTTGCTTGTTGCTACAAGGCATTCCGTTCTTTTTTGAAATGTGATTCTGCTGTTTGTTCTGTCATTCATATTTATCTATACGTTTTTTTTGTTTCTCTTAACTGGTGGTGACATAATATATTGTAGCAGTGGAAAAGTACGTTAGTATGAGGACCAACTCGTTTGGTCGTCTTGCAATGTGCAGGAAAGTTGGTTGTTTTATAAAATTTGGTCGTCTAAGTTTTTGTAAGATAAACGTTGGTTAAAAGCTTTGTTTCGCATTCTTTCGCTATACGTCAACAGGTTGCTTCGCTTCTTTATTTCAGAGGCTTTTAACAAACGCCTACTTTAGTTTTCTTTTGGGCTGTGAAACAGGATGTTTTAAAAATGCTTTTGCAGTAGCTTCTTTTTTGAATCTAGTGCGTAATTTTAGTTTTGGGCCATGCACCGGCTTTTCTGTAACACCGCTGAAAGCTCGTTAGCCATTGCTGCTAGGCTTTGTGGAGCTTGCAGTCCGCAGGCAAGATGTGTGCAGACAGCGACCGCAACAAAACCAGAAAAGATAGAAGTATTTATCAACGACCAGAAAGTGATGGTGGACCCGGGGATGACTATACTGCAGGTTTGATTGTAACAAGAGTTTTAAAACATCTGTTGCCAAATTGAGGGCGATGAGTCCATGCGTTAATGCAGTCCATAGGTTTTTCAAGTTTTATTTATGGCAGCCGTGAGAATTGTGGTATAGAATTTGTTTACCACTTTTCTTCTTGAGTGTTAGATCGTATTTTAGGCGTGTTCAACGGTTGGAATTGATATACCTCGTTTTTGTTATCATGACAGACTCTCGATAGCTGGAAATTGCAGAATGTGTCTTGTAGAAGTGGAAAAGTCCTTCAAAGTTAGTTGCTAGTAAAATATTTTGTTTTGCTGAATAATTGATTTAAATTTGCGTAGTGTCGTACACAGTAAATTTTTTTTCTACTAGTTTGTGAGAATCAGAAATTAGTAAGTTTTTTTGATATGGAGGAGATTACGTCTTGGATTACCGCTTCCTTTTTTTCAGTTTCATTCCACTGTTGGGTATTTTGTTAACTTGGTCATATTTGCTTCGAATTTTTTCCAACAATCTCAAAAATTCTGGATTTTTTTTCCCTGACTTGTTGGTTCATTTGAAGTATATTTCTGTTTTATGAGCTGTTTTAAAAGGTTACTATATTATTAATGATTTTTGAGGGTTACTTTTAAATTTTTGCTATTTGGTTGAGTATTTGTTTTTTTTTTCATTCGTCTCTGAAGTTTTTAAATGTAATTTTATGAAAAACAGAAAATATTTGAGTTGTTGTCTTGCATTTCTTGAGGTTTGAGGATGGATATTAGCGCTTTTATTTTATTTTTATTTTTTTGAGGTGTGCTTAACAATTTTTAAGAGTCCATTTTGATTTGTGAAAAATATCTTTGATAGTTTGTCGGGATATGCATTTCAGGAGCGATTAAGGTTAAAAATTAGTAAGTACAGGAAGAATCTGACTGGCTTATTGCAATAAGGCAGTTTTTTGGAAATGGCGTCATACAGTTCTCGAAAATAGTTTATTTGTATGGCTCTGAAAAATCACCGTCTTTTAATCTTCTTTTCAGCCAGTCGCTTCCTGCGCTATGCCCGTTATGAAGGGAATGAAGATAAAAACGCATTCTGATTTTGCAAAGAAAGCACGTGAAGGAGTGATGGAGTTTTTACTTGTTAATCATCCTCTTGACTGCCCTATCTGCGACCAAGTTAGATTTTAAGTCTTTTAGTAGTAATTGGTCTTATTGATACACTTTGCTAAGTAATAGTGTTTTTTAGGGAGGGGAATGTGATTTACAGGACCAGTCATTGATGTACGGCTCTGACCGTGGTCGTCTTCAAATATTGCTTGATGGCAAAAGGTGCATACTTTTTTACTTTTATTTCTACTGATTTTCTGGAAGCTTTTTTA